GTCTAGTGCTGTCCTCTCAATTGTATCGTTTACCATAGGTAATTTATCTCTAAACTTCCTTTTGAAAAAAAGTTCTGATGAGGTTCTTCCAGTAACAGAATGTGTTGTATGTACATGGTTAAATATTTCAGTAAACTTTCCTTCCAGTCTTTATTTTCAGCTATACTTATTTTAAGACGTTTAAGTATGACACAGTTTTGTCTTTCGACCTCTCCGCTTTGTCGCAGCCAATATGGTACTGTATTGAAAAGAAAAATGTTTATTTCTGTTAGAAATGATTTAAACTCTTCGCTGAGTAACTGTCTTCTATTATCTGCAGTTATTGATTTACTAATCGACTGAATATTCCTTTAAGTTTGGCTACAATTTCAGTAGAGGTAATTTTGCGACAAATCTTCACTTCTTTATAATATGTGGTCACCACTTGTAATGAATTGCGATATCAATCCAAATCAGTTTTGTGGACATGGTGCAGATACTAGAGTACATCCTTTACAGGCTTTAACAATTTTATCAGCCTCTGTCGCATCTAGGCCACCAGACTTTCATACGAAGTCTCGCCTTCATTGACACGATACCGGGATGTCCCTCGTGAGCTGCATCCAAAACTCTTATACGGAGTGGCGAGGGAACCACAATTCTCATTCCTCTCAATAATATACCCTCATGAAAACAAAGTTCATTTTGTAAGATTTTATACAACTTCACATCGTCGTTCCATATGTTCCGATATAAACCCTCTTTCACGATTAATATTTTCCTATCGTCCATTGTGCATGACAAATGTGATTGTCTTCCAATTTTATCAGGGATTTCTCCGCATTTTTGCTTATTTGTTGTCTCGACAATGAGTCGGCGATATTGGTTTTCCCTGGTTGGTAAACTATTTTATAGTCGTACGATTGTAAGCGCATAACCCATCTCTCTATCCAGGCTGCACATGGTTTAGATTTAGGACCAAATATTACCTCCAACGGCTTGTGATCTCTTATAAGTTCAAATTTTTTACTATAAAGGAATATGTGGAAATGTTCCACCGCCCACACGAGAATTAACGCTTCTTTTTCTGTCTGGCAATAGCGGCGTTCACAGTCAGTCAGAGTTTTGTGGCCATATGCAATAATCCTGGGCTCACCTTTGGAATTAGTTTGAACTAAAACTCCACCTAAATCCACAGGACTAGCATCTGCTATGACAATCGTACGATCGCTAACATTATAATACCCTAAGCTAGGAATATTTGTCATGATTTCCTTCAACGACTTAAAATACCCCTTTTGTTCTGGTCCCCAGTTTCCGGTTACACGATATGAGAAACATGAGTCTCTTGTATCTTAATAAGCCTTTACTGGTTATAAAGGTGGTTGTTTCTTGAAGCAGGCTCTATGTATTCAAGTTGGTAAATGCATCTTTAATATCCAATATTGTAATTGTATTCTGCACCGGCACTACAGGGGACACCCATTTAGAAGAACCCACTAGCGGCTCTATAATATCCCTATGTTTAAGTTCTTCTTCCTGTCGAAACGACCTTTTTTTTTTTTTTTTTGATCATGTCTATATTATTATAATATTTCCACTTTCCGCTTCAACGTCTGTTTCGTTCGGCAGTATCATCTACCGAATCCATGTACAAAATTCTTTAATTTATCAAAGTCCCTTTTAGATTTACTATCCATCCTGTTTACTTCTTGATTCTCATTTGATTTCAGTGGGTTTTTAAAGTCGTCTAATTGTTTATTAACAACTTCAAGAGTATTTGCTTCGGTGATTACTTGCTCTAATGTAATTTCATCCCCAATCTGTGATATCGTTTTTCTCTGTCCGGGTAGAAAACATTTTTTCGTTATTTGGTCGATAATGTTTCGTCTCTGTCGGCAAACTGACATTTATCAGCTTGTTTTCCCAGTCTCACCAAAAATTTAAATTTTTTCGTCAGGTTCTTGTTTAAGGAGCCTGAATATATGTCTCTCGTATACTTTGTTCTGTATTGGTGCAAACTAGGCATCAAGTTTAGATATTGCTACTTCAAACACGTCTTTGCCTTCAGTTGGTTCGACGGAGCTAACTCCAGGAATGTTGTAAAACACTTCCTGTAAGTCTAGCCCGCCGAAATGTAGAAGAGAGACCCTTTTCTTTACGTCTTCGTCAATGTTAGACGCTTCGAGGTAAATGAATAGTGCTCGTTTCCATCGCTCCCATCGTGCACCCATTGAGGTAGATTTACCGTTACAGTCGAACTTTTCCAGTAAAGGAGTGACATCTTTGGAGCGACCAGGAATTTATCAATTTAATGATTCAGATATCTATGTATCTGCAGTTAGATTTGATCTCAGATGCTTCCATCTCGTATCAATTTAATGATCGGATTATATTTTTATCCGCATAAAGCTACTTAAGCCGTCCATACCAACAAACGTATAAATTTAATTATCAGATTTTGAATCTGCTAAGTTTGTAGATTTTATCTTAGATGATCTTGTATGAATTTAATGATCGGATTATATTTTTATCCGCATAAATCTACTTAAGCTGTTCATAACCAACAAACGTATAAAATGAATTATCAGATTTTTAATCTGTTAAGTTAGTACCCACTAACATACAATAATAATTTTATTGTAAAGCTTTTATTTTATTTATTGGTATCAATTTAATGATCAGAATTTTAATCTGCTTTTATTTTTATTTACTGATATCAATTTAATGATCAGACTTTTAATCTGCTTTTGTTTTTTATTTACTGGTATTAATTTAATGATCAGACCTTTAATCTGCTTTTGTTTTTATTTACTGGTATCAATTTAATGATCAGACTTTTAATCTGCTTATATTTTTATTTACTGGTATCAATTTAATGATCAGACTTTTAGTCTGCTTTTATTTTTATTTACTGGCATCAATTTAATGATCAGACTTTTAGTCTGCTTTTATTTTTATTTCCTGGTATCAATTTAATGATCAGACTTTTAGTCTGCTTTTATTTTTATTTACTGGCATCAATTTAATGATCAGACTTTTAGTCTGCTTTTATTTTTATTTACAGATATCAATTTAATGATCAGACTTTTAGTCTGATTTTATTTTTATTTACAGATATCAATTTAATGATCAGACTTTTAGTCTGCTTTTATTTTTATTTACAGGTATCAATTTAATGATCAGACTTTTAGTCTGCTTTTATTTTTACTTACAGATATCAATTTAATGATCAGACTTTTAGTCTGCTTTTATTTTTATTTACAGATATCAATTTAATGATCAGACTTTTAGTCTGCTTTTATTTTTATTTACAGGTATCAATTTAATGATCAGACTTTTAGTCTGCTTTTATTTTTATTTACAGATATCAATTTAATGATCAGACTTTTAGTCTGCTTTTATTTTTACTTACAGATATCAATTTAATGATCAGACTTTTAGTCTGCTTTTATTTTTATTTACAGGTATCAATTTAATGATCAGTTGGGTTCCAACTGCTTTGAGTAGATACTTCCTTTTGTTTTACAGTATTAATCACAAGAACATAGTTTTAATTAATTTATTGAACCAGATCCAATTAAGGGTCTTTGTTAAATCTGCGTTAGTTAGGTAGACAGGTACCTACCGATTTAACGGTCAACGGTTGTAAATAAACCTTGCTATTATTTTTATTATTTTTTTTTTTTTTTTTTAGACAAATAGAAACACCACTAAACCACAAGCATAATCTTAGTATATATAAATTACTGGTCACATTGTTTGTCCGCTATGGACTCCTAAACTACCGAACCGATATCAATCAAATTTGCACACCGTGTGCAGTTTGATCTTACTTAAAAGATAGGGTACATCTCAATTTATACCCGCAATATTATTTTATTGCAAAATATTTGTTTCTTATTTAATAGTCACCATTCTAACAGATGGCGCTGTGTTAAAAGTACCAACGTTTCATATAATTCTATTAACGTTTCTACAATTTAATGGCATAAGCACCATAAAGCATGGTGGTCCCCATGATTGGTGTTCTCGTACCGTTTCCCTTGAATAGTTTACTACTTTGTAATATAACAAAAACCTTAGCCACAGCAACGCTTGGCCGGTCTACTAGTACAATATATTTCTATCACTATGTAGGTAGGTGCTACAAAACAATCGTACATTCAATGTAGGTGCCCGTAGTTTAGATTAGATGAACCTATAGGTAATTATTTGTTTATATCCTTAGCTCAGTAATTGCAGAGGTTTGTTGCTTACTGTTTAAATGTAGGCACGACAATATTAAATATTGTAATACAAATTCATATTTCCCGTCAACAATAAAATTATCTACATTCGTTCAGAAGTCAAGAAGCAACTGTTTCTGCTATCAATAGCTAATGATTAAAACAACCGGGTCATAGTAAATTATAGGCAAAGGACTCTGGGAATGACGTCACTTGTTTACTGCACCGTATCTTTCCCTTTTGTTTTTGTTTTACTAATGTGTACTCACTTTTTTCCTCGTCGCCACATGTAATGTCCTGCTTCTTGGACTGATTTACGGCTCACCAACACCACAACACTTGTACAAACATTCTACACACAACCGCTCCGTTCGGATGTCGGATTACGACTGACAGTCTGACAAGTGACGTAGGCGCATGAGACAACCAAGTAACACTTTATTTAGTCAATACACTACAATAGTATTTAAAAGTGGTATTAGTTTTGGTTATATAGTTGATATTATAGTTTATAACTCTAAAACAAATGCGGTAAATTAACATAGAATTAGCATTTTCAACTTACTCCGCTGGCGCAGCGACCCAAAGAAAGCCTTGGCCTCCGAAACTAGAGAACGCCTTTGCCGCTTTTTTACAACAATTTAATTTTATTTGCTGATACGTATTGAATTTAATTATTTAGACGTAAATGTTAACACTTGTGTTTAGTTTAAATATAATTGCGTTAAAGAAATGTTTATGGCATGATGTGCTAGTGTGAATTAAATAAATATATAAATTTGTTATGTCATAATGGAATTTCTTGCTATCGACAGTGATGTTTCTATTGTACCTTCCTGGATGCCCTTACTTAGACAGGTAAACTTTTAATCGTATTTAAAAAACACGTGTTTTAGAAGTAAAATCACACCTATATTTTTACCGTCTATATATATTGTATATGTATATGAGTGAATGCGTATCTTTAGCATTGCTGCGTAATGTTAGGACATGTGTACTTCTGTGGGATGAGTTAAAAAATACAGCAAACATTTGTTAATCTAGAGAGCTTCTTAAACTTAAAAATTCTTAGGAAATTCAATCGAATAGCCATATTAATATTGTTAATCCGGTAATTAGCAATTACAATTATTATAGTCAAAGACAAAATATCACTATTTCATCACTTCTCGCTACTACTTCCATTTATAACATTAATATACATACCTATCTTTTCCACAAGCTACAAAAGGCATTTATAACAATATAAAGTCTATAAAAAGTATTTTAGGTATATATGAGTTGCGATCGTTAAAAATTAATGGTCGATATATTAAAGTACTTTTAGCTGGCTAAAATAGTAAAAATTTATTCACGTTTATTTTTGAATGTAAAAATTTCACCAGTGTGTTAACTACAATAGATTCAAAAGCATTTTCATGCTGTCTATATTTTATAACTTAAACATAATATGAATCATAAAATAACGAGGGTAGAGGCGAGAGGAGGATATGATGTGTTCAGTCCATTAGAGACAATTTGCGATACAATTTCAAAAGAGAATGATTACTATATTTTTCTTTGATCTTCTTTTGTCACACCTTCTGTGCCTGACACACAGCGTCCGTTTTTATTCTGAGCAAGTATTTATTGCACACATAGATAGAAATGTGGATAGTCGGGAATCAAAGTCACTACCTATTGGATAAGCAAAACCAGACATTAATATTTTGTTTCGTTTACAGAGTTTTATATGCAGCGGAGTTGTAACATTTTACTTCATCCATGGTCTTTTTGTGGGTGCCCCAACTGTGTTTATCCCGCAACTAAGAAGGGAACACAATTCTACGGATTCTATAGATTTGTCTATGGAATCTTGGTTATGTAAGATATTACTTTTAGCTTATTTTATTAGTAGAGGAGGTTTGGTGGTGTTTATTTAAATGTGTTAGGTCATTTTGAAGTTTGTATATTTCTGTTTGAAGTATTGATTATGTTCTAGTATTGTTTATAATAATGTTATCTTTTATTACGATTAAAACTAAGCTATTCCTACTTATATAAACGTAAAATTGCTGTACCTCATTCGGATTGGTGCAATAATTTAATTAAAATAAATATTTTACCTGACATTTATGGTGGTGTTATGGGACTATTGCATCGAGCATATGACGAATAAATTCTGATGATCAACGCCAGATTGAATGATGTCAAATTTACGAAATATTTTTTTTTTGTTTTATTTTTTATGAACGTAGGAATAACAAAATGAAAAGATATTTAAAAAAAAACTTACTTTTATATTTGGTTGGTTATATTTTCATTTACTTTCAGCATCCGCCTTATTCTACAGTTCCATACCTTGGGCAGTTATAATCCCGATCTTCGCATACTATTTTGGAAGGAAAAAAACTGAAATTATTCTCTGCTTTGACACATTGATAAGCAGCGTTATTTTGTACTATAGTACATCACCAAGACAGATTATTATCAGTCAGATAATAATTGGTATGTTACCTGCCGGCCATCTCACTGTTTCTGTAATGGTGCTAACAGAATATTTTTCACCTAGATATAGAGGCATTTTTATGAGTGTCAAATCAGCGACTGTATTCTGGGGAATATGGATGTCAAACGCCATAGGAACGTATTTTCATTGGAGTAATATTGCAATCCTGAGCTTTGTCTGCAGCGCATATACCTTAAGTACATTACTATGGACAGAGTCCCCGTACTGGCTTGCATCTAAAGGTCGCTTCAGGGAGTGTGTTGAAACACACCGGTGGTTAAAAGGGACTGATGCCGAATCAGAGGAAGAGCTTAAACGTCTCATTGATTATCACAAATCACGTTTTAATTCACGTAATGGAAGACGTCCGATTTTAATATTGAAATCGACGTTTAACGCGATAACAGAAAGTAGTTTTTATAAGCCCCTTCTTATTGCTACGTTGACAATTTGTTTATTCCATATATCCGGAAAATTTGCATTTAGTATCTACGCTATAAGGATATTAAAAGATATAACTGTTAGTGAATGGACAGCTTACAATGGTATGTTGATTTTGGATGGATTAACCATACTTGGGATGTATGTGGGTTCGTCATTTTCTAAATTTCTTAAACGCAGAACAATGATTTTGTACGCGTCGTCACTCGGCGCTGCTTTTTTATTATTACTATCTGTGTATTTATATTTAATTGAATATGAAATTGTATCAGATAATAAGTATGTTTCTATACTTCTATTAGCTGCGTACTGTATGTCAATGAGCTGTGGTCCGATGATTATGGCCCTATGTGTATGTGGTGAGCTATCACCGTTACAGAATAGAAGCCTTTTTCTTTGCGTAATATGTATTATTTTTAATAGTCTAATGGCAGTGATGCTTAAACTATCGCCATATTTATTCAAATCAGTTGGTCTAAGTGGCTCATTTCTATTCTATGGAATCGGTTCTTATACAGTCATTGGATTACTTTACAAGTACTTACCGGAAACGAAAGATAAAACTATTCTCGAAGTCCAGAAGTATTTTGAAGGAAATTTTTGTATTAAGGAAGAACATGAAGTTATGTTAACAGAACGCCGATTAGTTGAAATAGGACATCCTATGACGAATTAGTTAATTAATTAATCTAAATCAAATTTTGATAATTTTTATAATTGCAATTGAATTTATAGTTTTTTTATAACATTGTAAATATAAATTTAAATTAATACCTTGTTTTATTTGATTTACCTATTATAATGTATGTACTTATATATAATTCTTCTGTGAGTGTGTATGTCACTGAAATTCTCTCAAACGACTGGACCGATTTTGATGAAATTTTTTGTGTGTGTTCAAGGGGATCTGGGAATGGTTTAGATTCACAAATTAGCCCGGCAGATGGCACTGCAGTCGGTACTTTCATACTTTGCTTAATATCCTAATCGCTTTAAATATCATGCAGGACAACGTCTGTGGGGTCCACTAGTGTACTTATAAAACTCTCTTGCTTAGTGTTCATGATGACTTAATATCATAATTGGATCTCCAGCGGAAGAATATTTGTTAATTGCTGACTCAGGAAAGGCATAGGCTGTTTGAAGCAGTCTTGTTTTTTTAATAAAAAAATTGATGTTAGTAAAGAGTGTTTACCCCAAGCCCCTTCAGTTAGGGAACTTAAAACAAAATTCATAAACCCATTCGCCTCAGAGGTAAGCATGTTTGACCAAAAGTTGTATGGGTTCAATCGATTATATCCCGAAATTAGTTGGCGGAGGTTGAACGTACTTCGGACGTAAAAATATCACTGCTCCAACAGCAAGCAACTGACATGCAGCAGCCGCACCGTGTCTGGTTATAGAACAGTACACTTGTCTTTAAATTTTTGCACTATATCATCATCCATAAATAATCAATCTTAATAGCCTAGCCGCTAGTGTGCAGTTTTATCATACAAAGCAACATTATTTTTATAACAAAATCTAGGAAAAGTCTTTGAGAGTCTATAATTTCGGCGAGGCCCTAAATGTCGTATTAATATTAAAACGTATCTTCAAACAGTTCCGCTGAAATCCAGTTCACGAGCAACAAAGAGGTTGCAAACATCACTCGCTCTTTGCACATTTGAAAGGATTTTATTCACGTCACTGGGCGAAAGTAGTGGATGGAAATTCGACAGAGATGTCAGGTAATGCTACCGTATTTGCTTTAAGAAATGCGGTTTACCTTTCAAGTGTTTGGGAAAATACAATAGGAAAACATTTGGTATTTTATTTTACATTCACAATGTATGTAGTATTGAGTTGGATTTGAATAATATTCGGAGAATAGAATATTGATAATGCATAAGACTTGATTTGACGTAGTTTTATTAATTTTACATTTTGATCGAAAGCTGTTTTTAAACCGTATATATTATTAAAAACTGTTATACTTTATTATTTAATAATCTGAAATCCAACTCATTGACTAATTCGTTGTGTGACAATGTTCTAGGAAAACAAAAGCGAAGAATTTTAGAAACAAAATCATGTCTATTTTCGATAATTTCGTTAAATCTAAAACTGTAATTATAAATAACTCCCATTACTTAAAATAATCGAGCAACATACCTCATTCATGTAAACAATCCCTTCTTCATGTTAAACAATGTTAGTTGTGTTGGGTTGGTTATAACACAAGTGACGTATTGTAATATCGGTAACGTTCAATGTACACTGTGAGAGTATTAGAGCTAATAGTACGGGAGGTAGCAACGTTTAAAAAGAAATCATTTTAGGTCAGCTGATTTTGTGATATGTCTTCCTTCTTGCACTTGCGAATTAATGTCTGGCAAATTCATTTTTAGTTTTTCTTATATTTAAATAACATAATATTAAAATTACAGACATTCTAAAATACTTTGAAATTTTTATAAAAAAAAAACTTAAAATCGCGTCTGGCACATAGAAATGTGAAAAATGTCTGGCAATAAAAAAAGTATGTCAGGTAGACTTATTTAAAAAGGAAAAATCAAAAATTACGCTTCTTAAAATGCAATGCTTCATCATACTGCAATACTTTTTCATTTTAATTCAAGACTTAACAATCGAATTAATGTCTGGCAAATTCATTTTTAGTTTTTCTTATATTTAAATAACATAATATTAAAATTACAGAAATTCTAAAATACTTTGAAATTTTTATAAAAAAGAAACTTAAAATCGCGTCTGGCACATAGCAATGTGAAAAATGTCTGGCAATAAAAAAAGTATGTCAGGTAGACTTATTTAAAAACGAAAAATTAAAAATTACGCTTCTTAAAATGCTTTTAAAATCCAGAATTATTACCTGGACAGATAGGATGCGCACTAATGAACGCAACCGCTACCGCTAGCCAGATTGCCCAGACTCTAACCGAAAGTGCAAGAAGGAAGACATATCACAAAATCAGCTGACCTAAAATTCTTTCTCGAAAACGTTGCTACCTCCCGTACTATAAGGGATGTGACAGACAAGCTTGTATAATGATTGAGGCTAACAAGGTATTAGCTGCCGTCGGGTAATTCAATCAGTATCAACATATTAATATAGATTTGCGTTATATTGCTTCTTAACAAGACAAGATCTACTGTTCACGATGAACTTCAGCACCCCAAGACTGGGAGGACTTTTGGGGATATTGGGAGACGAATGTTTTGCTAAATAGTATGGAATGAACACAATGGAAGAGTGTAGTGTCAATAATAATGTGAATTTAAACTAAGCAATTTAATTTTAAAAGAAATATTTATTATGTCATATGTTTATCTTTTTATTTCTGCCAAATAATGACTCTATAGCACGATTGGCCTAAGCATTAGCCAACCAGTTTATTAAATGTTGTAACAAACGCTACGGCTGAACATCTCTCAGGCCGCTAGTGAAACGGCGCCGTTTAGTTAAAACGCTAGGCTGTTCATTGAACGGCTAATTAAGCTAGTTGGCTGCAACATATATGTTATAATTATTGTTAGGAAAAATAAATAAAAATGTAAAACAAAAGAAACGAGGCGCTTTACGATTGAAAGTTATTTTCTATTCTTGCTTCTAAACTTAATATAAAAATTTGTTAATTACATAATAGACATATTAATTTGTGAAATTGACATCGGACTTTACGAACTAGTTTTCTACACTGCGCCAGGTTCTTCATAGTCAGCGATAGTGTAGCAAAACAACCGCGCAACAACTTTTTGTATCTAATATCACTTGGTTCAATCAAATTGTAACTTTTGTAACTTGCTTATCAGCCAATCACAAACACAATGCCTCAATCAAAGCCTAGAGCTCTAAGTGATTTATATTATGACGCCAATTTTTAGACACAAACATTTTGTATTCTGCCGTACTATTAGTTTGTTTATTTAAAAATTTATAAAAAGTTTTTAAAAAAACTTAAATGTGGCCGATGCTTGACCCACTCCTGAGAAGTAATTCTTTTCTACGATCAGCGAAATAGCCCGGACTCAGTGTTCGATTCAAATCTATTTAAAACATACCTAACCCTACATTATGTAAATAATTAAAAAAAAAGGGTGCGTGTACTTATGTACGCGCGTAAGAAGTTATACTTCTTTGGCATTATTAAAAATAGTTTGGCTTTGTTCCACCTCCAGTTTTTGATGTTTCACAGCGATAAGATGACAACTCTTTTTTTGTATTCAATTTAGTGCACTTACACTGATTCATCAATTGTTTTTTGTCTCTTGTCCTTATATTTGCTAGAGAAAAATTACATGTTTTGATTAAACAATGTGGTAATTTTTGTAATCAAAACATTACTCGATAATAATAATACAAACTGATAGTTAACCTCAATTGTAATGAAGCACTTAGGAAGGCACTTATAATTCAAAAAGCATTGCTAAATTTCTTTGAAAAAATAATTAAAACTCCTTTATTTGTTTAAAAGGTAAATGACAAATGTCATTATGGTCATTCAAAATTCTTGGTATACGAACTTCACGCATATTCTATTTCTTTTCACTTGTAGATTGTCTTATTCCTATCTCGCTCGCGCACGCTATAATCACACTCCTAATTTTGTGTCACGGTGCGCGCGCATCGTAAAATTTCACTCTCATCAATTTTTCATAACGCGCCTAAAGAAGTATAACTTCAAAAAATAATGAATCATATGAAACCTCCTTACACAATTCACACGGACCATATAATTCGTGTCCTCTATTAACTTGTGGCAATCTCAAGTCGTGAACATTACAACGATATTACTGTCCGGACCTACAGTAATAATGTTGACATCTTAAATTTGTCACAATGGCAGTTTGTTGTTCCCCATTTGTAAAGTAAACTCAGTTCCGGAAATTCAGAATACATTATTTTATTAGCTATCTATTAGCTATTTAATTGTTCTCTTGACACTTCAAACTTTGACATGAGTCTGTGTGTCGAATTTCTCCAAATATCGTCGCTGTAGAATGATAACCTCGTATGTCCAGAGAACCAAACATTACAGGAAACGAAAAAAATGTTTCATTTCGACAATGTTCGTTAAAATATTATTATGTGTTTTTGTCCATAGTTTAAAATGGTAAAAAGGACTTCTTCTTACTTCATGATTATACCAGTTAAATGACATAAGAGTCTAAGAATAAAAAATAAATGTTTTTTGACATACGAGGTTATCATTCTACAGTGACGATATGTTGATGTTCTTATGTATACATAAAACGTACTGAATACATTAGCCGAAAGTCGAAATATAGAAATAATCTCTGACAAGCATCAGAGTAGACGACTGCGTAAATGGCCATACATAATAGAACGCTGTGGCTAAAATGGCCTGAAATTTGAAATTTAAACTGAAAAAAAAAACCGGCAATCTCATGTAAAAATAATGTTCATTGGAAATCAAAATATTAAAGAAAAAGCAGTTCATAGTAGCCGATATCAACCTGTAAAACTAATTTAATATATTTGTATTCCTACACTTAACTTAAATGATATTAAAAACAGATATTATTCTATAAATATATCCAAAAATGGTAAAATTAAATAACGTGCGCAATATAATAATCAAAACTAATTATATAATATAAAAATATGTAACATATTCAATTACTAAACCATTAATAAAATTATCTAATACAATC